TTTTTTTTGACATGGGGTCTTGCTTAAGTTGCCTAAGCTGGCCTTCAATTTAGGATCCTTTGTAATCCCTCCCAGACAGCTGGGATTACAGGCATACCCACTGTGTGACTAGGGATTTCTAATATAGAATAGACAGTGAATGGAACTGCAGGAAAAGTATGGCTGATGCACTTGGAATTCCAAGGAAGTTGGGGTCTTAAGAGAATTTGAACATATTATGAGAAAGGAATTCTTGGCAGAGGGAACAATAGAATTAAGCTTTTGAAGTATACATACTTTTCTAATATTTCAGAATCCCATCACTAAAGTTTCAGTTGCCTGCTCTGTGGGAATGAAAGCTAGACAGTACAAGTAAAGTGGCAGTCCTTATGTTGTGAACACTTGGTGAATCTGAAGAAACTGGACCGGGGCATATGTATTTAGGACTTTGTTAAATTACTTTGAAGTAGTAATGAATATTTCTAGGATTTTTCTTTCTCTCTTGTACAAAAAAAAAAAAAAATGTGAATTTATGTATAAATTCACATGGAAATTTTATGTATACACTTATGTATGTGTATAAATTTTATGTATAAATTCTGCTGAAAGAGGGTTGTATTTTCTTTTCTTTGGGGTTTATATGTTAAGTTGAGTGGTTTGTCATCAGTTCCCTCTTGGGTTAATGCCTTTTTAGTAGTCACTGGATGTGTGACAAGTGCTTAAAGTCTGCAATCGTATAATTCAAGACATTAGGAAGTAGTTTACAATATTATATTTCTCACAGAAGTAATTACATTATGAAACCTTTTATCAAATCTAAAGCGGTATTTTTCAATAGTTCTATTTTTTTAATATTTATTTTTTTAGTTGTAGTTGGACACAGTATCTTTATTTTGTTTATTTTTTTACTTGGTGCTGAGGATTCGAACCCAGGGCCCTGCACGTGTTAGGCAAATGCTCTACCCCTGAGCAACTACCCCAGCCCCTTTCAATGGTTCTTAATCCTAAATTTAACAGCATTTAAAAGTTCTTGAAATTGGGGTAACTAAGAAGGCAGTCTTGAAATGGGAAGAGTATTAGACTTGGAAATCCCAGGGCTAATCTATTGTGGTGCTTGACTCTGTATGCTGCAGCAAGTCCTAAAACCATTTATCAGCTATAAAATGAGGAAGGTAATTAAGATGGGGTCCTTTTTACACTTCACATTCTGAACTTTATTTTTTTTTTGTTTCATTAAGGACTTTTAAAAAGACATTTTTCAAAGTTTAATAATGTTTCTGAAACTGTTTGCTTTATTCTTCTTATGGTGGGAGTACAAGCTTTTGCAGTTTGGCTGTAAGATTGGAGGAGACCCCACTGTTGAAATGGTATTTGGATGGGGAATTGGTGTGGTTTCTTGCCACTATGTCCCTTCAGTTTTAATTCACAGTGAGCCACTGATTCTGTTGAGTGTGTACTTTGTTTCTTTCAACCATGTTAGGTTTAATAAGGCTTTAGATTACTGCTTTTTTTTTTTTTTTTTTGGTATTGTACTGGGGATTGAACCCAGAGATACTTGGCCACTGAGCTACATCCCCAGCCCTTTTCATTTTTATTTATACTTAGTGAGACAGGGTCTCACTAAGTTGCTGAGGCTGGCCTCAGACTTGCATTCCTCTTGCCTTAACTTCCTGAGTCTCTGGGATTACAGGCCTGGCTAGATTACTGTTCTTTGTATACAAGTGACCACTTCGTATTTCAAATCACTGTATACAGTTAAGCCTAGCAGTTGCTGAGGTATCGCACTGCTTGAAGTCCTACAAATAGCACTAGTTCCTGACTTGTTTTATATGTGTAAAGCATTTAACATGTTCCTATTCCAGAGAGGAACTGAAGGAGACAGCCATTGCATTCAGTAAGGGTGTAAGATTGGTTTCTCCTCATTTGTCATCAAATCTTGACTTGAATGTCTGTCGATATCCATTTTCCATCATGCAATTATGGTGTCTTACTGTGTGTTGATTTGTCCTCCTCAGCATGGTGTTGACAAACACCAGCAGTTTCTCTTCAGGCTATTACTTCAGTGTGCCTCTTCACTGGCCAGTACTTAGTAGGTATCCTCTGCAAATTACAGAGCAGTAGTGCCCTCATCAAGACACTGATGAGAGAAATGGGACCAGAATGATCAATATCATTGAGCAGACATTTGATAGAGAAATATGTCTCAATTTCTATGAAGACCTGAAGGAGGAACAAGGAGAAATAGTTTTCTTAGCTGAGGAAAGGGATGTGAACATAACCTCTGAGAGACTTCATCCTGTTTGATTTTGTGCGTTTTAGCCTTAGTAAGGGTATGTTGGTACAGAGTAGTACATGCAGATGCTGCTGTTGCTTAGACTTAGTAACTAAAAACAAACTAAAATGTATTTTGTTCCCCATATTGATGTGATATCACTCAAGCTCCTGGCAGAGGCTAGCAGTCCTCACCTAGAGTTTATTCTTATGTTGCCAGTGGTGCATTTTTCTTTGATCAAACTAAGGCCTTTTCTCTTATAACACCTTCCTTTCCACACAGTGCTCCAAATGGAAGTGTCCTCCAAAGAGGAAAGCTGGAGCAGAGCCTTCTATGCCTATGTTCTTGCACCTTTGGATGAATTCAAAGAAAAAGGAAAAGATACATCTTTGGTATTTTGGGGTCTTCTCTCTGCAGGTGGAGCAGTTCTGGAGGTTTTATAGCCACATGGTACGTCCCGGGGACCTGACAGGCCACAGTGACTTCCATCTCTTCAAAGAAGGAATTAAACCCATGTGGGAGGTGAGGACTTAGGGCCTTGGACTGCTTTTTTGAGCAAGTTGTTGTTGTTTGTTTGTTGAAGCCCTACCAAAGTTAAAACTATTTCAAGTGTCCTCTCAACTGCAACACTATTTGCTACAACCCTTGGAATCTGGACATCTGGGGAAAGACACTGATGCTGTTGCTTGATTGTATGGGTTGGTGCTGGGTATTTTTAAAGATGGTGGTGTTAACTCAGATGGTGTTACAGCATTAAAAATTTTTTTTAAATTGCCCTTACCTGTTCCCATAGAATTTGTGTGTATTTGTGCATGTAATACTAGTACATAGTATAAAATGATAGGAAAATAAAAGGCCATAATTGGAGACCCACAGTTGAGCTACTAGTTGGCTGTGCTCTGGCATAAAGCATCTCTTTTTTTTCTTTTTTAAGAATATAACCTTTAACTTTTATTTTATTTGTTTGTTTTTATGTGGTGCTGAGGATTGAACCCAATGCCTCACCCCTGCTAGGCAAGTGCTCTACCACTGAGCCCCAGCCCCAGCCCAGCATAAAGCATCTCTTCTGATGCCAGGGCATTTTTCTAGAAGATGGATGTGGCCACATACATCCCATTCCCCATATTTTATGCAGTTTGTTTTTGTTTTGGGTACTGGGGATTGAACTCGGGGGCAATTTCAGTGAGCTACATCCCCCAGCCCTTTTTATTTTTTAATTTGAGGCAGGTCTTTCCCAGGCTGTCCTTGAACTCGTGATCCTCCTGCCTTAGCCTCCCAAGTCGCTAGGATTACTGGCATTAGACACTGCCCAGCTTTTATGCATCTCTTATTGTTCACGTGACCTTAAGCCTTATTTTCCTTTCAAACTTCATCTCCCATTACCTCTAAATCTGTTCTATGCAATTAGACCCTCCTATTCACATCCCACTGAAGTGCAGTTAGTACAAAAGCATGTTCTTTGTGGTGCCTTCAATGCCTTTACCTGCAAACTCCTGTTTCCCTCAAGACCAGCTTAAATATTTGCTCTTGGGCTGGGGATATAGCTCAGGTGGTAGAATGGTTGCCTCACATACACATTCCCAGCACCACAAAAAAAAAAAAAAAGTTTGTTCTTCAGTGTTTCCAGCTGTCAGGTTCTGTCTTACTGTGCAGTTTTCGTTTTACAGGAGCACTTGTCAGACTGTTTGGCTATAGTTAATTTTCTTAACTGTCTCCTATACTACATTGAACCTAAGTAGATTCTGGGGCTTTGTATCTGTGTACTTGATACTTAGTGACACTCAGTAAATTGTAGCAAATGAAGTGATGAATGAATGGTCTGTTTGAAATCTGGCATTTCTAGCTCAGCGGTAGAGCACTTGTCTAGCACGTGCAAGGCCCTGGGTTCGATCCTCAGCACCCATAAAAATAAGTCAATAAAATAAAGGCATTGTGTCCAACTACACCTAAAAAATAAATATTAAAAAAAAAGAAATATGACATTTCATTTTGATTCGTAAAGTAGTTCTAATTAAAAGGGATTAGTCTTTAAAGATCTGTTTTATTTAGCCTTTTTTTTTTTACTTTTTTATTTTAGATATTTATGGACCTTTATTTTTTTAATTTATTTATATGCGGTGCTGAGAATTGATCCCAGTGCCTCACACATGCTATGCAAGTGCTCTACCACTGAGCCATAACTGCAGCCCCAGTTTAGCCTTTTTTTAAAAAATGGCTTGTACCAAGAATCCCTGCCTTGTTTTTTGTTGTTGCTGCTATTCTGTTTCATTTTTCCCTAGTCTTGTTTTGTTTTGTTTTAGTTGTAGGTGGACACAATAACCAGTAAAGGTTATTTATTTTTATGTGGTGCCGAGAATCAAATCCAGTCCTCATACGTGCTAGGCGAGCGCTCTACCACTGAGGCACAACCCCAACCCTTTCTCTAGTCTTACCACGTTTTTATAAAATAATATGTTGGAGAACTAGAAATTACAACCAGATTTGTTAGTATTTAAGAGATTCTTCTTTTTTTAATACCTTTATTTTATTTATTGTTTTATGTGGTGCTGAGGATTGAACCCAGGGTCTTGAACGTGCTAGGCAACCGTTTGTTCTACTGCTGAGCCACTACCCCAGCCCAAGATTCTTGATTTTGTACTGTTAAATGTGCAAGAAAAAGACATGAGCCATTATTTTAGCTATAACTCTTTCTTTTTGTAGGATGATGCAAATAAAAATGGTGGCAAGTGGATTATCCGGCTGCGGAAGGGCTTGGCCTCTCGTTGCTGGGAGAATCTCATCCTGGCCATGCTGGGAGAACAGTTCATGGTTGGGGAGGAGATCTGTGGGGCTGTGGTCTCTGTCCGCTTTCAGGTAAGCTACCCTAGGCCAGTCTGCTTTCATGTGTTGCTCTTGCTTACCTCCTGCCTCTGGTTTGTTTTGATGATACCTTCTGTTCCTCCCATAGGAGGACATTATTTCCATATGGAATAAGACTGCCAGTGACCAAGCAACCACAGCCCGAATCCGGGATACGCTTCGGCGCGTGCTTAACCTACCTCCCAACACCATTATGGAATACAAAACTCACACCGACAGCATCAAGTACGTGTTGGGGGTGCTGGGGGGGACAGGTCCCTGAGCTTAGCAGAAGTAGCTCCATAGTTGGGCCCAGAGGCATATGGTCATACAGGAGACTGGCTTGTGGTAAAGGGACAGACCAGCCCCCTTTAGGCTTCTGGTCACTTGCTGCAGTTCTTGTTGGCAAGGCTTCCTGCCCACCTATGCTGCAAGGTGCTTTAGAGCAGAGAGTCCTACTATAAAAACCTGGTGCACTGCTAGGGCTACTTCATTTCTAGTAGGCTATCTTGTCTTTCCTATACTAATCACTCTCTGAAAGTGAAAGACAAAATACTTTCCTTTTCTGGATGTTTTTAAAGATAATTTTATTTAACAATGAAGTCCTCTTCCCTACCCATCCCTCATCCCACTTTGCATGTCTGTTTAACTGTCAGCTTCAGTCTGTGTTCTTCATCCTGGGAAATTGACTTCTTATCAGGAATGAGGACTCCATTCCCTGTGTGTAGAGCTGAAGTAGAAGAGGAATCAGGGTAGTGTGTGAGAGAGGAGAATCAAAGGAAAGATAGAGAGCCCAGGGGAAAGAAACTTTGGCCTCTCCTCAAAATTTGGGGCAATGGAGCTCTCTGTCCACAGTGAGAGTCACTGGTGAGGTTTGCTCCTTCAGCAATCAGGTGTCAGAAGTAAGCTCAGGTGGTTAGAGAAGAGCATGGGGAGTGGCTGTCAGATTGTCTTGAAAGCAGAGGGAAAGCCAGCCAGCTAGGAGCCAGGCCCATAGGTTTAACTTCTCCTGTGGCCCCCCATCAGTATGTGCCTTTGGCTAGACTCTCTGCAACTCTGCTTCAGTTTTCCCAGCTGTAAAATGGGACAGTAATACAAGGCTTTAGTGAGATTGACTTAATCTATAACTGAGGGTTCTTGGCAGAGCCCTCTGAAGGCTCCTTTAGGGCCAAATATTATTATCACTGTCATTATCATCTTTAGTAATAATGTCATCATCATACTATTCTTACTAAAGACTAGTAGTGAGCCCAGTGATTTTGTTCAGCAGGCAGACCATTTGGGATTCTTTCCCGAGGATGCACAGGTAATGGTGTGGGTGGAGTTTGCTTTTACCAGCTAAGTACCAGCTTTTAACTGGGAACACTGCCACAGAAGTTGGTTCAAAATCAAATGACCGGCTGTGACTCACTGTAACCACCAGCAGTTACTAGCTAGCCTGGCCTTGGTTGCTTGCCTCAGCAGTCCGGTAGTAGCACTGTTCTTCTCCAGGCTAATCTATCTTGCTGTCTGTTCAGGGATAGACACAGTTTTTACTCTCCTGCCAGCTTCAGGCCAGGCTGGAGAGTTCTGGGACTTTATTTTCAAGGATCCCAAGATCCCCCCCACTCAACCACACCCATCCCCAAAGCCAGCTTTGCACCTAGGCAGGAAAGGGAAAGGTGTTTTTCATCATCTCTCCCCTCTCTGCTGTTCTCCTTCTAATGCCTCAAGGCAGTTCGTCCTAACTATTGTAGAATGTGTAGGTCCTCCCAGAGTCTAGGAGAGCGTGTGGACTTCCGCCATAGTCTGCTGGAAGGACTGGCCTACTGCACGCTGCTTCCCCAGAGACCTGCCTCTGGGACTCCAGCCCTGCAGCCATAGGGCCAGAACATCCTCCTTGAGACCCAGATGCCACCTTCCCTTGTGCCCTCCTCTCTTTCCTATCCCAATGAGCTACCTTTTGCACTTTCACTAGAATGCCAGGCAGGCTGGGCCCCCAAAGGCTCCTTTTTCAAAACCTCTGGAAGCCGCGGTTGAATGTGCCATGACCCTCTCCCTCTCTGGATGGCACCATCATTGAAGCTGGCGTCATCGGAGTCTCTTGTTCTGTTGGCGTGCCACCTGGAAGACCCTTCTGTCCTGGACAAGAGGAGTGGAAGAGCATGTTATGCTTTGAGAACAGGCTGACACGCAGCAGCTACAACAACAGCTGAGATCACAAATAAATGGTGCTAAACTAGCTTGTCTCATGCTCTTGCTCTTTATGGTGCATCAAGATGTGGCCTTTTGGACTGACTGTCACCATGTTAAGGGATGGCACAGACCTCATGCAAAGCCATCCAGGGAATGCAGCCTCATTGCCATGAGCCCATTATGTAGTATCATGTGGTACTTTGTTCCAGACTGCTGAGGCCTGGTGTAATGAGGTGACACCTAGCTCTCAAACTGAGTCCCCATTTCCTGGTACTTTAATTCAGTTCCCATCTAGCTAATGTTGATGACCAGAGTGGTTTCTGATTTGAGCTTGATAGTCTGTAAAGGTTGGAAAGGGGAATCCTTGACCTTTGCTTTGCTAACTTCTGTTTGCCTTTACTTCAAAGAATTTCTTGCTTGGAGGTAAAGCCCCGCTTCTATCTGTGTGTGGCTGACATACACATAGCTTCCTTGCTTTGTGCTTATGGGGTGTTCTGGCTGGTATGAAGCTGCCCAAACCCTAGATTCTTTGCCAGCCTCCTCCCTTTCTGCTTTCCCTGTAGAGCCAGATCATCTTCCTCTTCAACAAGTCCTGCTTCCCATTCTCATGGTGATAACCTTCCCTTCCTCCCAGCCCAGTGTTCCTGTGCCTCAGGGTCTAGGGTGGGGAGTGCTTTCCTCTGGTGTAAGTTTGACACTCAGGAGACTGTACTGTGCACATACCAGCCTTTTGTGTACTTTGTGGCTTTGGCTTCTGTGTGCTGCATTCAGGTCCCTAACCTGTTGGAAAGTTTCAGCAAGCCTCGTGTTACTTTAGTTTTTCTTAGAAGCTACCATCAAAATCAAACATAGTCATTTTTGGGTACGCTGGGTCAGGATGCCTGACAGGTTCTCAGGAGTGAAAGTGGTGATAAGGCTGTTTTCCAGATGGCTGTTCCACTTTGGCAGCGGCACTCTGTGTTTGTGCCATTCTGACAACTCCAATCTCCACTTGGCTCAGGATCCCACAGAATACACATTGGGGCTAGTGCCTTGGGTTCAGATGTTCTGGGAATATTTGTGTCATTGCTTCTTTGTTTATTGCATTTCCCAAAATTGGTAGAATATATGAGATTTGCTGGTTTATGGAAAGATCTGTTCTCTGCGTTTTTAGCATTTGTCAGAAAAGACCTCCGGCCAGGTGTGATAGCACACACCTGTAATCCCAGGGATTTGGGGGACTGAGGCAGAAGGATTCCAAGTTAAAGGCCAGCCTGAGCAACTTTTAGCAAGACCCTGTCTCAAAATAAAAAATAAAAAGCTGGGATGTATTTCAGTGGTAGAGCACCCCGGGTTCCATCCTTAGTACTGCAAAAAAGAAAAAGACCTGGCTCTTTCCTCCTGCCTTCCACTGTCATGTTGCATGCATTGACCTTAATTTCAGCTACGTTGTAACTACTCTAGGGGATGAGCTTGATGTCAGCTTCCAGAATAGGAGTCCTTCAGAAAGCACCAAACTGACCTTGAGACCCCTTGGGCCCCAGCCACATATGAGCAGAAGTCAGAACTGGTTCTGCTTTGCTTGTTCATTGTAGATCTTCGATAGGTGTGGCTTTGCTTTGAATTAAGTGATATCAGCTGCTGGAAATTGAGAAAAACAAAGAAAATGAAGGAAGAGCCCAGAATGGTCTTGCAAGTATTCTGGAGGTTAGGGCTCCTGAAAGAGTAGGGTGAGAGGGTATTTTTAGGACTGGCTTGGGTTCTTCAGTCATGTGCTCCTCCCTCTAGCTTGCTGTGTTTTGCTCTAGTCCTTTACCTGTTTTACTTGCCAACCTTCCTCCAGTATACACTGCTTATGGCCTTTTTCTGCTGCAACCCTAGGTGAGCCAAGAGATGTTCACTGTTCGCTGCCCATAGAAGAGGGTAATGAGCTGCTTTGCTGGGAGGGCTTTTGTCCTTGTTTATTGCCAACTACCCCTAAGAAATATGAAACTTGTTAGACAGTTTTTGCTCAGGTCCTGGTTCCATTTAATGAGGCCAGTTGCTAGTTGAGTTCTCATAGGTTTGAGACCTTGTATCAAGTGACTTGCCTGGCTTACGCCCTGCTTTGAGTATAGACCTCATAATAGCCAGAATCTTAGGACCATCAGGATAAAGCTGGGCACAGAGCCATGTAAAACAGCACTGTCTTTTGTGAGGAGTGGTTCCTCTTTATTCCAGAGGAGAGACGGGTTGAATTATCAGGACTTTCTTTAGCCATCGTTGTATTTCAATACTGAACTTGAATATATAGGAAAGGATCACCCAAGCCTTTCTCCTGTCAAGGCTAAATCATAGCCTGTGCCCTTCAGTCACCCCATTATGGTTACTGGCTTGCTTTTGTCTTTGTGCTCTGTGCCACCATGCCAATACTCAAAACAAAGGAAGTCCTGATTGGCAGGAGTCAAACTGCATGAGCACCACCCTAACCCTTCAGGGAGGTGGGGAGAGGTAGAATATAGAATTACATAGAAATGAGATCTCTGATTTTACATAGAAATGATCTCTCTGCTCTCAGAATTTGCTTTCTGGTAAGTGAGGTGGGATGAGTGGACTTGAAAGGACTCTTTGTTACCATGTCATGAGTCTGAATTTAACAACTCTAGTCATAGGTCACTTTTTTCATTTAACTTGCTCTTTTTTTACCTTTAAAAGAAGAAAGTTTTGATTTTACCTAATATACCTAGGCTGTCTGGTAGAAAGTAGCTAGAATATTCACACCTGACTTGCCTGTGATTATACCAAATACTGTGGCCAGCTACTTTACTTTCATTGAATCCATGCAGGGAATTACTGAATCCAGATTCTTCATGCCAAGGGTTAATGTACAGTAAAGATATTTCTTTTTTTCTTTTTAAATATTTATTTCTTAGTTGGACATGATATCTTTTTTTAATATTTTTTTTTTGTTGTAGTTGGATACAATATCATTATTTATTTATTTTTATGTGGTGCTGGGGATTGAACCCAGGGCCTTGCCCATGCCAGGTGAGCTCTCTGCAGCTGAGCCACAACCCCAATTGTTAATTATTCTGAAGAAAATGGAAGGGCAGTTTAATTCTGAATGGGCTAGAGGAGAGCTCTGAAGTCCATGTTGCAGGCTCTTAACCCAGTGAACTGCTCTGTTTAGGTTAGTGTGGTAGATACGGACCTTCCTGAAAACAAAACAAAAATGCATGAGATGAAGCTTCAGCATGGCTGTATAATCTTGTCAACACCTAAGTTGTTTAAAAAAAAATTTTAAATCTCACTGTTAGAAAGAAAGGGGTTTCTCTAGGTTGTTGCTTAGGCATTGGATTCTGCTTTGCCCTTGTTTATTTGGACTAAAGAGTACAGTGACACCTTCTGATGTCACTCATGGGCTCACAGAGTATACCTCATCACCATCTCTCCAGAATGGGCTATGGAGTGTACATCTTGCTGTGGGATATTGAGTTTGGGAGCTGGCAAAGATTGGCATGTTTGTCAAGTGTTCTTCATGTTTTCCTCAAATCAGTCAGTATATGCTAGTAGCTTTAGTAATGGTTTCTCTGAAGAAACCATTCTCTTATAAACCACTAATTATAATTGCTGTTGTTCAAATGAGGGAAATAATGAAATTGGTATAAACATTGCCTAGAAGTTTGAAGCTGTACTAGGTCTCTATTAAATCAATCCTTCCTTCCTTCCTTCCTTCCTTCCTTCCTTCCTTCCTTCCTTCCTCTCTCCCTTCCTCCCTCCCTTCCTTCCTTCCTCCCTTCCTCCCTTCCTTCTCCCTTTCCCTCCCTCTCTCCCTCCCTCCCTACTTTCTTCTCTTTCTTCCTTCCCTCCCTCCCTCACTACCTCCTTCCTTCCTGTGCTGGGAATTAAATCCAGAGTTTGGGTATTCTAGACAAGTACTCTACCACTGAGCTACATCCCCAGCCCCCCTCTTAAAAAAAAAAAAATAAATAAAAAGTGACCTGTGGAAGACCTGATGAAGAAGTATATTGTGTGGTCATAACATTAAATATGTAGTGAGGGACATGGCATATTGTCACCCTGGGTGCTGTCATCAACTTAAGCCAAGAGTGGAATAATTATTAATAAATTTAGATTTTAAAGAACCAAATTTTGTGTAATTCCTAGGGAACTTAACACTTAGGGACTGAGAAGTGGCCAGGGCAAAAAAAGATAGCAAATAAGCTCCTCTAAGGACACTTGAGGTGGGTGGGGCTTCCAGAACCTGTGACAGTCTGTTTTCCTCCTTTCCTTCCTCACCCAGCAGTCCTGAGAGCACCACTCTGCAAGCATGTGTACCCTTCCAAATACAATTCCGTTCTTAACTCCAGTTTCTAATTTGAGTTAATCAGCCTGAAATTTGTAATGAGAAATTTCCCCTGGAAATTTGACCTGCCATGACCTACACAGCTTAAATTCTAGGATAATACTTACGTGAGCATTTTAAGAAAACAGAACCTGACACAGGGTCTGAGTTTAGAAGAGTTAGAAGATTGAAAGTGTGGAAAAGGAAATGGTATGTTTTCTTCATTGCATCTTTAAACATCATAATGCAGTTGAGTACTTGGCTGTACCCGCACATGAGGCCTGGTAAGAAAGGTTGTCTCCACCACCTGTCTAGGGGACCTGAGGCAGAAAAGGAAGAAGGTGATGCTGTTTTTTGCTGCAGTGAATTGAAAGTGTTTCTGGTCATGGCTGAGCTGCACCTCTGACCTTGGTGGATTCCCCTGTAGCCTCATTGAAGGTGCACTGGCAAGTCCTTGAGGAATAGTGAGGGCCAGGCTTCCCACCTGGGGCAGGTTACTCCCACCTGTCTTTCGGGGCAAGTGCTGGTCCCAGCTCTTGTGGCTCCACTCAGCCTGAAGGGCATCTGGAGTGGGAGGTGGGGTGATGGTGCCTACTCTCTGTTCAAAGTGTTTGATATGAATGTGCTGTTGTGTTTTTTGTCTCTGGCTTGCCAGGGCCTGGGAGGAGTTTCATGGCCTGGTGAACAGCAGCGGCCGCTGATCGGACGCTCCCCCTCTGTCTCTCACACTCAGGGTAGGGCCTTGTCTACCTTCTCTGTAACTCTGTGACATACCTCTCAGCCACGGGAGCCCTTTTCCCAAGGGGATGCTCTCTGCCCATTTACCCTGAGCCTCAGAAACAACAACCCCTATACCATTGGGTTCCTGTTCTCCTTGGTCATAACTCCTGGGGAACCCTTGGGCAGGTCGCTTACCTTATTAGGCTTCTGTCCCCATCTGGAAAATGAAATTCCATGGACCAACAGGCCTCTGAGTTTCTAATGCTAACATTTCATAATGGTAAATGTGCCTCAAACTTTTTTTCATTTTGCTCAGATATGGCCATTTTTAAGCCATTTGCTAATATTCTGTGGCTAAAAGGGCAGTTCCATAGACCCTACTATGGGTTAGGTGAGAGGTATGTCTCTTGTTTGCTGGTATTGTCTGTCAGTTGTGAGGAAAGATTAATACAAATTCAAATTCAGAGTTTTAACAATGAAAGTCAGTGTAGGTGGGGTGAATTTCAAGACCGTTGCAGGGTGTACTTTAACTGGACCAGCACATGTTTTCTGTCAGGGAGGGACACCGAAATTGGGAAGCTTGGGACAGCTAAAGCATTCACTTCAAGAGTGTTTACATTTCCATCAAAAGAGTACCCAGTCCAGCTGGACACAGTAATGCACGCCTATAATCCCAGCAACTCAGAAGGCTGAAGCAGGAGGATCACAAGTCCAAGGCCAGCCTTGGCAACTTTACAAGACTCTCAAGCAACTTACAAATCCCTGTCTCAAAAAGGACTGGGGATATAGTTCAGTGGTAGAGCACCCCTGGGTTCAATCTTCAGAACCAAATAAATAAATAATGAAAAGGACTGGGAATAGAGCTCAGTGATAGAACATCCCTGGGTTTAATCTCCAGTACCACAAATAAATAAATGTGTCTGGCCCTGCAGCAAAAGAATTTGGTATATTTTCAGTATTGGGGGAATGGATGGAAGGCCAGCATTTGCTTATGCCAAAGATGAGAGTCTGCTTCTGGACATCAAGCTACTTCTACCACTCCCATCCCTGAGAAATAGGGTATTTCTGAAGTTAGAACACATTAACTGCAATAGCTGCTTCGAAGCCTACCTTCCCAGGAAGGAAATGAGGTTTTTCCAGAAGAGGAGATCTTCCTTCCTCAGAGGAACTGGAAGACAGATGATGTTGTAGGTCACAGAAGCAAGTAGCCAAGGATCAACCATTATGATCTAGAGACGAGCAGTTGCAGGGTTCCTGTACACACTGATGGTGCCCCCTTTAAATAGTTTGATTTCATTATTATAAATTCAAGTTTTAAATGATAACACCTGGTTTTTTAAATTCCAGTTTTAAAACTTTTCTCCAAAATGTTGTCGATATAGAATTTCAAGATGGCTGCTAGTACACAAAAGAAGGAATGAAATGTCAGTTTCATTTCATCATGTCAGTTCTAATAGTGGATAAGTTACTTAAGAGTGCTCACAGTGAATGTGAGGAAAGGTTTCAGTTGGAAGGGTTTACTTCCTAAAGTACATCAAATAATTGTTCTTTTTAGAGATTGGTCCACCGAGCTGGGTGCAGTGGTAAATGCCTATAATTCTATAATCCTAGCAGCTCGGGAAGCTGAGGCAGGAGGATCACAAATTCAGAACCAGCCTTAGCAACTTATTGAGACCTTAAGCAATTTAGCGAGACCCTGTCTCAAAGTATAAAGAATTTAAAAAGGGCTGGGGATGTGGCTCAGTGGTTGAGCACCTGTTGGCTCAGTCCTTGGTACCACCACCACCCCCCAAAAAAAAATTGTCAGTCTTAGTTTTCGTGAAACAAGTATTTAAATTGGGTAGTCAGAATGAAAAACAACTTAAAATGAGCCCCTCTCCCTTTAGCAGACCTTAAACCCCCCAGGAAATGTATCTTTGAATTGCTTTGAAAAGCCATATACTTGCATAATTGCTTTTGTATAGTCCTGTTCTTTTTGTGGCTTCCCTATCTTTTCGTACACTTGATGGTTTAGGTGTTCTCTTTGAAGCACAGCCTTGGGAGTCAGTGAAGAGTGTTCGAATTTGAACCAAAAGAATCAACTCACTTCATTGCCTTAGCAGTCTTTAAAGGAATTCATATTTCATCTCTACTGCCTGAGCCTTGCTTTCAGCATAAGGTGTGCTAAGATTTGGATGCCCTGCTCTGGTTGTTTGATCTGCCACGTTAGAGCCCACAGTACTTCGGCCATCTCTTACTCATCCCTTTTCCCCCACTTACAAAAAGATCATGATCTATGAAAAAATTGGCAGAACAACTGCTCTTTAAATAATTCTTAAACCTCAAATGTTTGTCCTCACCTTATCAGCTATTTTATGTCATTATCTATAACTGCTAGTATTTTAGGACCATTTTATTTGAATTCTGTTACAAAAAGTACACTTCTTTCACCATGGCTTCAGTAGAAATCCCAACTAGCCCCTGGGATAGGATCCTGTTACCTAGACAGCTGGCTGGCTTGCATAGGACAGAGGTCTCTATTGTTGGGAGGTACACTGGCATGGTTGCTCATGGAGATGAGATGGAAATTCATCCCCACTGAACCTAGAAGGAGTTTGCAGTTTTATTGAATATGCAAGGAGAGGAGAGAGAGCCAGGACTGTCTACTGGGGTAGACTGCTGATAGCCAGGGAACATTTTCCTGAAAATAATGTGCATGTCAGTCAGTAGGTTGATCGTGAGTGCCCCTTCCAAGCCACCCTTCAGGGCAGAGACTCAGATAGGATTCCTGCTTGGATGATGCCCAGCTTTCACCTGAGGACCCGGAGTTACTTCAGTGTTCCTGCTGGGTGCCAGCACAGTGACAGGTAACTCCAAGAGGGGAGGCATTCTCTGGCTGAGAGTCTTGCTCCCTCTCACCTACCTTTAGGAGTTAACTCCTACTTTTGCTCATTATTCCAGAGCTGACTTTTCTCTTTCTCTAGAAATACTATTTTGAGGCAAAATGGATCAGGAAGCTAGTTGAGTATTTGGTTAACAGTTTTCCCTCTGGGAATGTGAATTTAGAAGCTGTGGGACTGGGAATTCTTTGAGTCCTGTTTGGTACCAAAGCATAGCCCTTGCACCATCACCGCACGACCAGAGGGCCAGGGGGCCAAGGGACCAAAGGGGCTAGCTTTGGGGAATTCATGGTAGATTTTTGAATTTCTAATTTGCTTTTAAAAGAACAAAAGTACATAAAGAGAAAAAAAAAAAACATTGCCTGTGACCTCTGCCACTTCTTATCTACATTTTCCCTTTCCCTGTCACCTAATCTCTATACTGCAACCTGGAGGGAAGTCTCAGTTGAATATTTGTCCCCAGCTAGTTTGAGGTGAACACATTTCTTTGATTAAATTTGGCACCCAGCTTTTCTGAACCCACCCTTTTCTAGAAAGGTTGGACCATAGCCACAGGTCCTTGCTGTCACCAACACGAGGCCACTTGCCCTCATTACTTTTTTCTATTAAATCAGACTCTGGAGGGGAGGGGGGGAGAGGGGAGGGGGGATAGTAGAGAATAGGATAGAGAGCAGAATTCATCAGACACTAGAATGGCAATATGTAAATCAATGGAAATGTAATTGATGTAACTGATGTGATTCAGCAATCTGTATACGGGGTAAAAATGGGAGTTCATAACCCTTTTGAATCAAACTGTGAAATATATCAAATTAGATGTAATGTTTTGAACGACCAACAATAAAAAAAAAAAAATCAGACTCTGGGAAAACTCAGCTGGAGTTCTCCCTATTTCCATTTTGCAAATGGATCTTACACAATAAGACTTAGAAGGTTTTCTAACTATAATCAGGCTTCTAATAAGAGAAAGAATTAAACTAAGTATTAAATATTTGAATGGAAAGTGGTAGAACTCTTCAGTTTGTCTGCTACGAAAGAAGACTTTATTTCAGTACAAAATTTCTTTCCAGAAGATTAACTGAGCAGTTATGGCAATGATTAGCTTGAAAATCCTCTTCTTCACACCACTGAACAGGTGGACAGCTGGATCCCCACCTGCCATCTCCCTTACTCCAGTTTCAGTTAGAAAAATCCTCAGACTTTGTCTTTCCACAGCCCTACCTGTCTGTTCACTCTTCTAACAAGAAGAGTGGTGTCCCACTCGGCCTGGTGCTGCACACTTGTAATCCCAGCAACTGAGGAACTGAGACAGGAAAATAGCAAACTGAGTCAAACCTGGGAAACCCTGTCTCAATATAAAAAATGAAAAGGACTAGGGATGTGGTAGAGTGCCCCTGGATTCAATCCCCAGTTCCAAAAAAAAAAAAAAAGTGGAGCCTGTCCTGATAGACCAGTGCTATCCGGTGGCTCTTGAACATAGAGGGGTCATACAGGGAAAGAAGTAGAATAGAACAACTTCTCACAAAATTGCTTTCTTTAACATTCCGTGTATGTAGGATGAACAGTCCTCTGAAATGCAGGCTTGGTGATAGGGCACATCATACCTAGAGCTCAGAAATGCACAGCCAGCGAATGTGCCTGCTTTTCACTGTGGTATGATCAAATAGATTCCTTGTCATTCTTTACTAGCTATTTTTGTTACCTCAAAGGGATCTGTCCTTTTGAAAGTTTTTTTTTAAAATATTTTTATTAGTTGTTAATGGATTTTTATTTTATATTTATTTACATGCGGTGCTGAGGATTGAACCCATTGCCTCAAACATGTTAGGCAAATGCTCTAACACTGAGCCACAACCACAGCCCACCTTTAGAAAGTTTTTCTTATAACACTGGTCTTTTAAAAATATGGCCACCCATTAACCTTACATTCAACCTTTGGTTTCCTCAGCAAAAGCAGTTGAAATGCTCAGCAACCATTGACTAATGAATCACATGGTCATGCATGTCAGTTATTAAAAAAAAAACCTGTGGACTTTGGCAAAAACACCAATTTCTGCCAGCTTGAGCCCATCTGCACGAGTCATCCCATCCCATCCCATCCCACCCCATCCCCCGACCTCACCCCACACACCCCTCCTTTACTTGACTAGTCATTCTCTTTGGAATAGGGCTCTTGGTTCTTCTTGTCCTTCTTCCATCAGCCAGGGGCAGGTGAAAACTGTCATTTGTCTGGGCTCAGCATATTTTCTAAATATTTATTTACTTTGGACCAATATCACAAGTCTGGTTAATAGCCAGAATTTCTACAAATTTAAAATTAAATGGAAAATAGCAACTTCAGAAACTAGAATAATGAGAATTCCTGGCAAATTTGAACCTGAAGCACTAGGCTGGGGCAGTAGCTAGGTGGCCTTTAAAATCCCTGAAATTTTGAGATTGGATGGTGTTGTGACCTTCTAAGATGTCATTGGATTTCTAGTGAGGACAGGAAAGTTTACTAATGAATGACCACACCTGCCTGAGTCCAGTGAAAGGCTGCTAAGAGTGCATGTGTTGAGATCTGCCCCCTCCTCACACTTCTTGAGAAATTAGAGCTGTTTCCAAGGTGCCTAGAGGGCACCTCCTGGAGCAGCCTCCTTTTGTGTTTTAAACTGAAGATGGCTGGGTTGGTTTATCATATGGCTGGATTGTTTATCATATGCACAGTTTGGTTTAGTGTATCTCCCTTGTGTGCTTTACTTTACTTCATCTGTCCCATTTCTACTGTGCCCTTTCTGTCCCTTGCCCCAAATAACTGCTGTTGCTGGATTCTTATGGAACCTGTAAGAGTTTCTTAGTGTCTAAGCAAGCAATTATGTGTATAACCTTATTCCCCACCCACTCACATGAACATGGTTACTATGTACACACACTGTTCTAGAATCAGTGGATCTTTGGAATCTTTTTCCATATTAGGAGAAAAAAAAATTTTTTTCCCCTAGCTGCATAGGGTCACATTGTACAGGGTGCCATGACATTGATATTTACCAGCCCCCTTTTCGTCTGCATTAGAATAGTTTCTTATCTAATTACTATTGCAAACAACTGAGTAGAAATTTTTGCAGGGACTTGGAGGCAGGTCACTGTTTGGCATTAGACTGGCAAGGAAGGAAAGCCCTGGGGTGTGGAGAGTCCAAGAGCTTGAGTTGAGTCCTCCCCATTTGTGTGTGGTTGTGTCTAGACAGTCCATGTATTGAATGCTGTGTTTTCTCCCGTTTTCTCTTTCAGGGACAATTCAAGCTTTCGAAATACAAAAATCACATTGTGAAAGTACACAAGCTGGCAATAATCCTTTTCTGTTTGTGTGTGTGTGTCCGAAATGGATGGAAGGCCTCTTCCAGTCCTTCCGTCTACCCGCTGAAGGGACGTCAGTGAGCCATGTGCTCCCCTTTTGCACTCATTCCTGGAGGACGGATTCCGCTAGACACCCTCCAGCATTGCTGACTTTATAAAGCGGAGAAATGGAAAACGTGACTTTGTAATAGACATTGTTTTTAGGGGCTTCTGGGAGGGGGGAGTGCAGCCTTTTATTTTGCTGTGTGCTGTCCAGAGGCCTTCCAGGCCCTCTGTTGCGCTCCTCTCCTGCTGTGCGAAGGGCTCTGTAACCACGTGGACAGGCCGGAGCTGTGGATGAGCGTTATCAGTATTATGAATGCCTGTGCATCGAGGAACAGCTTCTGCAGAGTTCCAGAGTAACCGAATGCCTCTACCAGCTCTGCCACCAAGTTATTGGGACCATTTGTTTCATCCTCTCCCCCAGGCCACCGCTCTCTGAAAATGTGTTATTGATGTGATGACTGCCCAGGAATTTGTGTCCTCTCTCCTGCCTTACACTCTCCAGTTTCCCTCCTATGGGGACTCTCTCCTCCTTAGGCACTGCTGCACTTAGAATTATAACCTGGTGGGAACGCTGGTCCCACTGGCATGGCTTAGAGAGTATGTCTTGGTAAGCTTGAGCAGAACCCAGTTTGAGGGAACTAGATGATAATGTAGATCCCAAGCGCAGGATTTGGCGCTGAAGGCAGTGATGGAAACATTTTCCCCTATGAGCAGGGTGTGTGTGCCAAGCCTGCTTCTATGGGTTCTTGTATGCCCCTCACTGAGGAAGGGAAGTGACAGCTGGCTATTGCCAGGTATTAACACTTAGTGTGTATATTCTACCACCCTGGAGAAAAGGTGAATGTTTTTTTTTTTTTGCATGGCTGTGCCTGTCTGTGGTGGTTGGAGAACCCTCCTTTCAGTCCTTATCACTGGGTATGTATGTAGCAGACGTGTGCTAACGCATGATGCCCACACACAGCTGGCGAAGGCCACTGCAGGTATGCTTCTAAAACAACCAGTCCCTCATCAGAGAAGGTATGTGATGTGACCCAGAAGGACCGAAGCCAGAGAGGTCAAAAGAGCACCTAGGATTCAAGTAAGTAATGAGCAGGAATCCTCCCACAACCTCCGAGCAGCACTGTCTTACTTGGCTCTTGTGAGCAGAGATCACAGTACCTTAAATTAAGGCCTCTCCTTAAAATGTATCCTTGAAGCCTGAGGGATCCTTGCCACTTGGTCTTAGGAATTATATGAGAGTAACAGGTATTCCCTTATTGTATTTATCTTACTCTCGTCCCACTTTCCAACTCCTGACCCCTTCAAATCACCACTGGGGATGCTTCCTGAAAACAGAGGAGTACAAGGGCCAAGAGGGAGGTGCTTCCATTACAAATGAAGTTAGATCCAAGAAGAAGATCTCATAGTGATTGAAACTCCAGGAATATGAAGAATGCATTCTGCTGTACAGACAGTTGTGACGGGCTCAGGCAAAGCCAGGAGCAACATTGGCTCTAGTGGGGAACAAAGGCTGCGTCTGGAGATTTGAATAGACCCCAGGAGGTCTTCACTTTTGCCTAAACTCAGATTGCCATGTAAATTCCAAAGAAAGCAGACATTTGGATTTGCCTGCCTTTGGGCATCTACTTGATTGTTGTGTGCATGTGGGTATGTGAGGACGTGGACAGTGTGTTTTATGAGTGGGAGTTTGTGAGGCCTAGTGCTTAGGTATATGGTCCGTAGATTAGCTTTTTTTGTTGTTGGTTTTTTTTTTTTTAGATTTTTTTAAATCTCCTTTGTTTTCTAGAGCTGCTCATATTTCCCCTTCCTTTGGTCATTGTAGTATTTGACAGTTATTTTTTTCCCATCAAAAATATGCTGACCTTATGTTGATTAGAACAGGCTGTTAGACAGCATCTTGCCCCAGCGTTCTCTCAGATATTCTGCCTAACAGCATAAGTGATGGCTTGAACAGTCAGTTTATCCACACGACCCTTTTTTCCAAACTAGCTTGAGAGGTCTCTCCATTTATTTTGACTCCACAGGCCTCTGATATGCCAAGATGTGACACGGTTATGGTTTTTGGTCACGGCGTCACCTGTTCTAGAGGGAATAAAGGTCTGCCAGGGCTAACATGACCAGCTGGCTAGGTTGCCACTGGAGAAAAGGAGTCACAGTTTGGGGCAGCTCTGTCCAACCCCTTTTCTGGGGCTTCTCTTTGAAATTGGCTCTTACTCCTCTCCAGTGCCCTTCTCTTTGTACCCTTCTGTTCATGTGTGTGTGTTTTCCCTGTGACACTGGCAGTGGCAATGATTTTCCACCCAAAGAGAAGCTCCTGGCCCACAGAGCTCCAAGAGTGAACTTCCGAGTACTTGCCAGTGAGGAAGGAGCAGCGGCTGTGACAGGGGATATAGTGTTGCACTTTCAGAGCAGTTGTCTGCCGCTGTAATAAATGGAAATACCAGCAAGAACCAGCTCGTGGACTCATTGATACAAGGAAAGCAGGGACTCTTTTGGTTTGTTGCTGCTACATCTGCCCTTCAGTGTGGGAGTGTCCATTTTAAATGCATTCTTAAACCCATATGAGGGATAGTCAGAGGATGCTGATTACATTGATGTAGGTTTATTATGAAATATTCTCTAATTACTATAATCATTGCTGCAACTCAGTTTGCCTTTTTTAATACTGGCAACTAAACCCAGGGATGCTTTACCCCTGAGTTACATCCCCAGATCTTTTTTCTTTTATTTTTTTTAGAGACAGTCTCACTGAGTTGCTGAGCACCTCACCATTTCTGAGAGTGCCTTTGAACTCTGGATCCTCCTGCCTCAGCCTCCTGACCCACTGGGATTACAGGTGTATGCCACAGCACCCGGCTCAATTTACATTTTTAATATCCAAGTATAGGTGTTAATTCTCCAAGGAATACTGGAGAAGAAGAAATTCAAAGAATTTGATTTTGAGGCAAGAAATCACTCCAGACCTCAGCTTGGAATATTTATTTATATTAAATAGTTTATTAATAGTTATATTAAGTAGTTTGGTCTAAAGATTAACTTTTGAGGCATGCTAATGACCAGCACCCATGAGAAATTCAAAGGGAAAAAACTCCTTCCAAGCCTCAGTTATTAGTCAGTTTTCTGTTACTATAACAAATATCTAAAGTTAAACTTGAAAGAAAATGTTTACTTTGGCTTGCAGGTTTGGAAGTTTCAGATTGCTTATGGGTCTGTGGTGAGACAGCACCTTGTAGTGAGGCAAGCTTCTCACCTCATGGTGGCCCAGAAGTGAAAGGAAGAGGAGGGGCAGGGTCCCAATAACCCCTTCAGGGTCATGCCTGTTAATGACTACTTTCTTCCCACAATTCCCCACCTCCTAAAGTTCTACTACCTCCCAGTAGTGCCATGGGCTAGAGACCAACCCTTTAACGTGGGGGCCTTTGGGAGACAATGTAGAGGTGGGCATATTGATGCATACCTGTGATCCAGCGACTCAGGAGACTGAAGCAGGAGAATCTGAGGTTTCAGGCTAGCGTCCACAACTTAGTGAGACCCGATCTCAAAAAGGGCTGGGAATGTAGCTCAGTGCTAGATACCCCTGGGTTCAATCCCCAATGGGGGGGGGGCACAACAAACCTGTAGTATCCAGTATTTTTAGTGAGAAATTAAAAATAATCCAGTCTTGAGACAGTTTTAGTAGATGAGATTTTTTTTTTCCTCCTAAACTACAGATTGAACTCAGGGCCTCACACATGCTAGGCAATCTTTCTACCACTCTGCAACATTTCTAGTCCTAGATAAAGTTTTTTATATTTGTCAGTTTATGGTCCAAATAAGAAATGGAAACCATGCAAATTATTTTAATATGACATAAAGAATTGATAGTAACTAAAGAAAAGCAAAAAGTAGTATTCGGGAATCAAGGAAATAGGGACTGTGGGTATATCTTTCAGTAATAGAGTGCTTGCCTAGCATGCATGAGACCCTGAGTTCCATCCTCAGGGAGAAAGAAGGAAAGAAGACAGGTCAGGGGATGGCAGTTGGGGAAGAGCCTGAGTGAGGATGGGTGTTGCTTCTCTGGTGTTGTGTCTGAAGCTGTTAGGAAGCTGCCTCTGAGCAGGTTGCAAATGGCAGCTGGAGTCCCCTGCATCTGTGGAACAAACTGCTTCCTCTGGAAAACACGGCAGGGGCCAGCTGGCAAAGTGGAAGTGTCTGCAGAGCTCTGTCCCCAGTATCACAAAAGCACAGTTAAAAAGAATGGATGTGGAGCGGAGGCAAGAACCGGAATGCTACCCACTCCCGCTTTGCCCCTGGGTATCTACAGGCCCTTCTATTCCCAGGGCCACAAAAGCAACCCTTTCTGCCCCAGAGAAATGACTAATTGTAGAACTTCTCATTCTCTTCCTCAAGATGAAGAAATGTGAGGCCTTGCAAACATATCAATCTCTGGGCTCTATTGATTCCTCTACTTGAGCCATAGTTCCATCAGAATATATAATAACAATGTTACTTAAGGATCAGAGGATAAAGTTAACTTTTCTAAAAAAAAAAAAAAATTGAGCTCTATCTCTGGCCACATTGGACATTTCTTGTTTCTCCTATATCTGCTCATGGCCTTGGGTTTGCTTTCCTTTGACTGCAGTCCTGCTGTCAGCTGAAAGTATTAGCCAAATCCTGCCCACTGGCCTACTTATATATGACCTCAAGTCAGATGCCTGGACAAAGAACCTACCTCTCTTCCAACAATTTATGGAAACATGGCTCACTGAGATGTTAGTTTGAGCCAATAGCATTCACAGCAGGCTTCTACAAACCTCAGAATGTCCATTAGCAAACACTTGCCTGGGCAGCATGACGAACACATGATGATAGAGAGATGACAGGAAGCAGTGGGATGTCTTTGGGGAGCTCAGGAAAGGGGAAAGGCATGGAGATAGGAGGGCCTGTTGGAGATTTGTGGTTCAAGTACGGTCAGTTGGGCCTAGTCCAGTGGGCAGGTGACCTTCACTCATCCAAACTCTGGAAGTACAGAGAGTAGGGGGATGGGTTTTTGCTGGAGATGTTGCCTCTGGGCAAGACCAGCATTTTTGCAATAAATTGTACCATTTGCTGAAAACTGACTCTCTCTGCTAGGCACTATAATTACTTTACATCAATATTTCATTTAAATTTCACAATAGCACAAAAATAAAATGGATCAAAGACCTCAGAATTAGACCAGAGACTGCAAATCCTGGAAGAAAAAAATAAGGTCAACACTCCAGCTTTTACACACAGGCAAAGACTTTTTTAATAGGACTCCTAAAGCTCAGGAAATAATGCCAAGAGTTAATAAATGGGACAGCATCAAATTAGAAAACTTCTACACAGCAAAGGAAACAAAATTGTGAAGAGAGAGCCTATAGAATGAGAGAAAATCTTTGTTAGCTATTCTGACATAGGATTAATGTCTAGAATATATAGAGTTCAAAAGACTGTACACCAGGGGCTGGGGCTCTGGCTCAGCGGTAGCACACTTGCCTGGCATGTGTGAGGCACTGGGTTCGATTCTCAGCACTGTATATAAATAAAGGTCTATCAATAATTTTTTAAAAAATTTAAAAACAAACTGTATACTAAAAAAATCAAATAACCCAATTAATAAATGGGCAATGAATTAAACACACACTTCTCAAAAGAAGAAATACAAATGGCCAACAAATGGTTGAAAAAATGCACAACATCATTAGCAGTTAGGGAAATGCAAATCAAAACTACAAGTAGATTTTATCTCACACGTCAGAATGGCAGTCATCAAGAATACAAATAATAATAAATGCTGGAGAGAGTGAAGAAAAAGGAACACTTTTACATTGTTGGTGGGATTGTAAATCCAACAAGACTATGGAAATCAGTATGAAGATTCCTCAAAAGACTAGGCATGGAACCACCCAGCTGTACCATTCCTTGATATTTGTCCTGAAGAATTATTAAAGTCAGCATGTTGCATTGATTCATACAAAGTATGGAACCAGTCTAAGTGTCCATCAGCGGATGAATGGATAAAGAAAATGTGGTATATATACACAATGTAATTTTATTCAACCAAAATAAAAATGAAATTGTGGCATTTGCCAGAAAAATGGATGGAACTAGAGATCATCACTGTCATGTCCGTGGTGATTACTTAGAACAAAGCAGCCTATGCAGGAAAGGAACCTCAATCATGCGCCAAGCAAATGCCTGTCCATCAGTGGGATCTCTTGACTAAAGCCTGTCAATCGTCAGGACCCCCTGACCAATCCTGGAGTTCAGCCAGTTCCCCTGACCAACTCCAGCGGGACAAGGGACCTTTTCCTGTCCCAAGCTCTTCCCTTCCTGCCTAAGCCCCATAAAATCTTAATCCGGTAGAGCTCCCACGTGGTTTCTCCTCAGACCCTTCTCCTGTCCACTCTGTAGGTCTGATCAAGTTCCGCCCAGGAGTGATATCTCAAATAAAGCCTCTTTTGGTGGCCTTTTTAAATCTGCCTCCTTTGGTCGCTGCCCGCCTTTGCCTGATCTTACAATCATGTTAAGTGAAATAAGTCAAACTCAGAAGTTTTTTTTTTTTAAGTATATTTTTTTAGTTGTAGTTGGACACAATACTTTTATTTTATTTATTTTTATATGATGCTGAGATTCAAACCCAGTGCCTCGCATGTGCTAGGGGAGTGCTCTATTTCTGAGCCACAACCCTAGCCCTCAGAAGGTTTTCTTACATATGTGGAAGCTAGTGAGGAAAAAGGAAATGAAAGGTAGAGATGGATCTCCTAAAAATCAATGGAAGGGACTGGAGTTGTGGCTCAGTGGTAGAGCACTTGCCTGGCATGCGTGCGGCCTGGGTTCGATCCTTAGCACCACATACCAACAAAGATGTTGTGTCTGCCGAGAACTAAAAACTAAATATTAAAAAAAAAAATTCTCTCTCTCCTCTCTCTCTCCTCTCTCACTCTCTCTTTAAAAAAAAAAAAAATTAATGGAAGATTAGTAAAGGAAAGGACCAAGTGGTGGGAGGTAGGGAGGAAGGGGGGGTTCTGGGAAATGATAGTGGCTAAATTGTTATATTATGTGCATATATGAATATGTACTGAGAAACTGATGTGACTCCATTTTTGAGAAACCATCCTCTAACTCAGAGCAAATCCTGTCCAAGGAAGAGCGTGTGACCCTTGTCCTTGGAAAAATCCACAGAGCACTCCTAAGCACATACCCACCCTGCTGAGTTGTTTTTCTACAAATAACAAGAGAGATCTGCCAGCCCCAGGTGTCCCTGACTCAGTTAGGCTAGGTGAGGACCCATAGCAACCCCCTAGCAACCACCAATCAGCATGAGGCAGGGAAAATACCTGGGATGCCAGATGACACCCCAGTAGTTTATGGTGGTTGATATAACATGTTGGGAAACCATGTAGTTTAGCACGTACACCCTTGTAGCTTAAACCAATCAGTTCAA